AAAAAAAGAAAAAAAATCAACTGGCTGTATCACTGATGACCACTACCAAACTGAATAATCTTCAGCAACAAACTCCTTCACTTGCCTTTCAAGACTCCACATTCCTGGTTTTCCTTCGGCCTCAGTGGCTCCTCTCCCAGGTCTCCTTTGCTGGATGGACCCCCTTCTTCTTTCTGCTCTCTAGTTGGCGAAGTACCCAGGGCTCTGTCCTCAACTCTTCTTCACCTTTATCCAATTCTTCCATGATACCATTCTAGCCTCGTGGCTCTAAAAGCTTCTGATATAATGACAACTTCAACGTTGACATAGTCTAGTCCCATCTTACCTAACCTGATTGTTATCAACAAACGCCTATTTAACACTTAGCATCTCAACGTTCACACTTCCAAACCCACCTGCTCTTCCTGCCTCTCAAACCTGCTCCTCTAACTGTACAAATAGGAGACGAATCCAATTGCTCCGCATGAAAACCCTGACGTCTTCACGTATACACACCAACCAACCCATCAATGTTCCTGTCAGATTCACCTTGAACATAAATCTAGAATCAGCACTTTCAAACACTAGTCCCCATTACTTTCAGCTCACTCACAAACTACAAGTACTTGTGCATCAGCATCGCTGCTTTCTCCATCACTCTCAATCTATCTATTCTCTATTCAAAATAATCCTTTAAAATCTAATTAAACTGTATTATTCCTCTCCTCAAATTCCTCCAACAGCTTCTCAAGTCAGACTAAAATCTAACCTGCCTTCTCACCCTTCCTCCTCACCCTGTGTGTAACCTGCCTTCTCACCCTTCCCCACTGACTTCACCTTCCACCACCCTCCCACCTGCTCACTGAGCTGCACCCCCTTTGATAGACCCCAAAAATGTCTCTGGACCATCACACTTTCTGTTGTCTTTGCTTAGAAACCCCTTGGATATCCAAATGATGGCACTACATTTCAATTAGGTGGTTTTTCCAAATGTCATTTTCTGAGAGGCATTCTCTAATCATCCCTTATAAGATAGTATTTCCTTAATCCACGGTTCTCCATTCTCCTTACCCTGCCTGATTTTGCTTCACATCTTAGCACAACCTAACAGTTTATATCTGGTTTTTCTTATGGTCAGTTAATCTAAGCTGCAACCTCCCCACGAACAGAAGGTAAGCTTCAAGATGGCAGGCACCGTGCCAGTCAGCTTTATTTACTCTCTCTGTATCCTCAACAGCTGACACAGCAAATGCACGTGTGAACATTTACTGAACGAACTCAAAGGCCCAGAAAGGAGAAGACTGAAGTTTCAAGAAATCAAATAAACACAGAGTGATTCAATCTGTGGGGGCCTAGTGTGGAATGTATGCGCATATGTGTGTACTTTAGGTTTGGGGCAGAGTGAAAAATGAAGCTGGAAAAATAAGGTATGGCAAATCACAAACAAAACCGTAAAAATTCTGCGTTCTCCTCACGGAGTGAGAGGAACCACCAAAAGGCTTTTTTAAGCAAGGTGACTGAATAGACTGCAATGTCACAAAGCAACAAGCATAAAGAAAATGCGGGCCAAAGGAAGTGAGCACATCCGAGGGATGCAGGAAATAAACATGACTGGATTTGGTGTTGTTCTGGACACTTGGTAAACAGCTAGAAACGCCAAACCACAGAAGAATACTGAAAATTTAGTCTTAATGGATAAGCAAGCACGTGAGATTGAAATGGTCACCAGAACCAAATTTTGAGGATCACTACTCTCAGTATAAATACTGACACATGAAAACCACAGAAACGTTTCAAAAAGTTGTCACATAATACAAGAATAAATTGTAAAGATCCCCTGGCAGCTCACCGGAGGGGCAATCTGAGGTTCCGCAAAATGCAAATGCTGATAAGAAATGTGTTCTCGTTCACGCAGTGTTTCTGACAACCCTTAGTCAAATCCCATGGAGTTAGGGCAATAATTCTCTTCTGTAATAATGCATTTCAAAATAATTACTAGTCTCCGTATTATTCCCTTTATAACTTTTATGCAAATAGGAAAAAAAATCAAAATGGTCTCCACTTTCAATCCGAAAATATTGTTTTCAAAATAGTTCAGCAATGATAAACTAAAGGGTTCTGTATGGAGCCTTACAGTGAAATTTTTTTTTTTTTTTTTAGTAAGGGTCAAACCAGTTTACTTAAAAACAATAATGAATTGAGAAGAACTTTTATTTTTCAATCCTGAATTAATGCATCCCTTTTATACTCAGCACTTGGAAGAAATAGTATATAAACCTATACAATTACAAAACAGTATTATTTAGACAGTGTTAAAAAGCTGCAGCAAACTTGTAAGCAACCATTATGTGGTAGGCACTATGTGAAGCATTCTCCATGTATTCTCTAATTGCACAGTAACTACATGAGAGGAAAAGGAGACAGTAAAAAGCCACAAAGACGGGGCTCAAATCTAGAGGTCAGCTCTCAAATACTATATATCCTGCCTCCAATAACCTATATAAGTAAAAACCCAAATCACTGGACACTTCAGGACTGTAAAGCTTGTTTTGTTTAAGCCTTTGCTCATCACAGCACCATCACCAGAAATGTGTAATATGAATGTTATTCCGTTTTCACTGAAAATAAATTCCGTGACATAGCATCCTTGTTACAATAAGCACTATCTGACGAAATGGATAGGAATGGGAACGTACTACAAGAATAAATCACTTTATAGAACCTGTAGCTTAAAGTATTTTTATTCTAACATTTGTAATTCTAAGAAAGTTTTATTATTTCACAGGTAGTGATTAATAACAACCCTAAAAAGTACTTCCACAGGAGATAGACTGATCATCAAAAGTACTCTTTTCTTTTAAAATATAAATTGTATAGGGGTGCCTAGGTGGCTCAGGGGGTTAAGTGTCCAACTTCAGTTCAGGTCATGATCTCACAGTTCGTGAGTTCGAGCCGGCGTCAGTCTCAGTGCTGACAGCTCAAGAGCCTGAAGCCTGCTTTGGACTCTGTGTCTCCCTCTTTCTCTGTCCCTCCCCTGCTCACGTCTGTCTCTCTCTCTCAAAAATAAACATTAAAAAAAAAAAATGTTTTTAATATAAATTGAATTTTTAAAAAGTTTCTATCATTTTTTTTATCTACTACCACCTTTCTATATTCAGAGACAATTTTAAAATCAAAATGGTCTTAGAAGTCACTTATTCCAATTCTCATTTTGTAAATGAGGAAATAAACACAGAAATCCATTAACTTTCTGAAAGACACATGCTGGTTACTAACACAGTTCTAACATGATGCTTTTTCCCAGGTTAATAACTGTTTTTGTTTTTTTTTTCCAAGTTTTATTTATTTATTTTGAGAAAGAGAGGGAGAGAGAGAATCACAAGCAGGCTCCAAGCTGTCAGTGCAGAGCCTAACACAGGGCTTGATCTCATGAACCTTGAGATTATGACCTGGGCCAAAATCAAGAGTCAGATGCTTAACCAACTCAGCTCCCCAGGCCCCCACTAGGTTAATAACTTTTGAGAACTACAGTAGCTTGCAGAATGATTATAGGTAAGAGTTTAAATTATCTGACAACTGGTCTATTCGCAGTATTAGGTGAACTTATTTGTGTGTATTTTGTGAGCTGAGTATTTTCAGTTATACGTAGCAATAAAAATGTCAACTTTTTCTGATCATGGGCCTAACAGTTCAGTATACTTAGAAAAAAAGCACTGTTCTATGCAGCTTTTCAAAACTGCACAATTATTAAGGAAAAGGAGGAAGGTTATATGGTTTAATAGTATGTAACTACAGGTTTTAGTCTATATTTAACCTGTTTGTTTATATCCCTTACAAGACCTACTGAATAAAATTTACTTGAAACTCTTGTCTTCCAAGTGGTTAACTTTGTCAAGTAAATGGAAAATTGTTCACGGCTTGTAAGTTTGTTTATAGAACAAATTATCTGGGGAATGAAGAACAACAGACGCCATACTCACTTATGTAAATGTCAATAAACTTTTGTTTGGCAGAATACTAACAGTACTCCTAGTTTTTTCAACAACAAGCTAGGGTTCCCATTTCTATCATTTTTACCAATGTAAAAAATATTTTTTAAAATGACTCTGAAATCCAACAATCTATTTTTCATTTTCCACTGAAAAAGATAATACCCCGGGAGTGAGTGCAATCATCATTTCTAAATGAGAAGTTCCTAAAAGGGTTGTGTAATAATGAGGAAAAGAGAAAATGGAGGGGGACTGTGCAGGGAGAGACGGGTGGGGTCTTTTCTTTAAGAGACGCCACCCTCCAAAATTACTTTCACTGTCTTATCAATTTCAGTGTCTTCTCTAAATACGAACTTTAATAGTTTTTAGTAACTTAGAAAAAAACATGAAATGAGCTGAAGTGTGAAAAGTGTTCAGAATGGTGCCTGGTCTATCAGCAAAAGTTAGTTTTTTTTTTTTTTTTTTTTCCTAAAAGAAAAGGTTACCGTATTATGTTCACTATGGAACATTTGAGACAATGACATGGCAGGAGGGTACCTGGAACCCACAGGCTAACATAGGTCTTCCCACATAAGTATTAGTTGTACAGACTTTTCTGTGCACTCATTACTTGTTTACAAGGAGAAACTGCTCCTCCCTTCAAAAAAAAGCAACCAACCAAACAAAAAAACAACAAAAACCTTTCATCATTCATCACCCTACTGATAATGTACCTACTTTCTTACCTGATAATAGAGTGATGCAAAGATAATAATACCTTTGAAAAGTACACAACTAATGGAGTTTGCTCCCCTCACAACAAATCCTTCCCCCCAAATAAACAGGCTTTCCCATTTAAGGATTTGAGCAACGTCTATGCTTGCTTACTATACTAGAGTGAATTATAAATTATTTTTTATATTGCGAGGCTACATGAGATTTCTAAAAAATAAATAACCTATTCTTTATTAACACAATCACTACAGTAATGAAAACAATTAAACAGAAAAAGGGGTTGGGGCCCAAATCTAAGATTTGGAAATTACTACTTACTGCAGGTACCAGTAATTTCTTCACTTCCTCAACGGCTCTCTTCAGTTTGATCTCTGCTCTGTTCTGAGCATCTTCCACAGTGATCAAGACGTGTAAGTCTTCATTGAGATGCTCCCAATTAGGCTTGCCTCTATTCTGCTCCTCCTGAAAAATTTACAAAGCACACGGTTACAAATTTTTCTTTTCAGAGAGAGTGTATCTTTCATAATACTAACCTGGTGCCAATTATTTAAGCTATGTTTGCATCATTTTGCTATGATGCCATTATAAACCTTCTGAATTATTCTCCTTGCAAAAAGACTGGGTTTTCGTGAAACTACTGGGTCAAATGACAGTTAATTCAACAAGTATTTGTGGAGCATCTACATGTACCAAGCATGGAACCAGATGCCAAACTGAGGCTACAAAGTAAGCAAGGCAGAGTCACAACCCCTGCAAGGCTCTTATGTACTAAGAACCAATTATGGAGTCATCCTTAGGTAACCATGGAAAGCATATTATTTCTTCTGTCTTTTACTTATGGGTAAATAAGTCATCAAGGTTAGCTTAAGCAAGTCAGTTATCAAGGTCCCATAACTAATAACATGCCAATTTAGGAACTGAATCAACATTTTCATTCTCAAGTTCAGTGATCTTTCCATTTCTTTACAACTACTGTTAGTAACATTGGCTGACTTCAAGATTAGGACAGCATTTTGCAAAGAAACATTACTGTGTAAGAGAAATGGAAACATTTTCACTTATAATCATTATAAGGAATACATGTAACTATAGTTCCATCAGCCTTGCTTTAACAAGTCAACCATAAGGTCACTATCTGTATCAACTCACAAATGCTAGTTTCATAGAAAACATCAATGTTTTATTTCCCTGCCTTTAAATCACTTAGTGAGGGATACCCAGGTTGGAAACCTAGTGGAGCTACAGGGAGGTTTAGAAGTAGGGTTGGCCACGTTTCCCTTTCACCAAAGATATAATAATTTCAGAATGACTTCTTGTTTTAAGTTTCAGGGATAATACTTTTAAAAATAATTTTAATTCAAAATGTGTAAAAGCATCAAAAACAGTATCAAATTAAAAATAAATATAAAAATGGTACATATAAATGTACCTGGCTCAGTGCAAGGCACCCTACATAAACAACAGAGAATACATATTTTAAAGGTCTCTATTTACTAAATTGTGAGATTTCAATCAAAGGAAAAAAACAGCTGGCAAAAATTGATAAAACTAACATAAAAAAGCTCTCTACTTACATGTTTGCAAAGGTCATGCTAGGGAAAAAATATGGACCTTAACCAGTAAGGACAGAAATAAATTCTAACAGTCAAGTATACGTTTCTGCCTGTACTTTCTATTAATATTATTAGTATGAAAATGCATCCTAATGTTTGCCAAATCTGATTGGTGCCCAAGAAAATTAGGGATCCCATTAATAAATGATGTGAAGTAAAATTTAAATTTATGAATAAAATTTAGTTTTTTTCAGTGTGTACTGGTATAAATACTAATTGTTTGGAAGGAATTATTTAATAAAAATAACCTATTAAGCATTTCTTTTTGCCTAGGGGACAGACACCATGAAACGACGAGAAAAAATTGAGAACCTCAGGGCTCTCTGCATGCCAAAGAACATAAAATGCACATACACGTAACTCTACTGTAGCAAGAAAAAGACTTAACTTTTATGTTGAAAAATGTTGACAATAGTTTTTCGACAAAATTTATAACTTTTTATGTTTATTAATTTTTTGATAGTTACTTGTATTTTCTGATGAACCTAAAAAAGTGTGCCAATAGTCACACGAACAAGGGACCTCTGCTTCCAAGATAAAACAGTACTTCTACCAAGATAAAAATAACACAGACAAGATTCACTCTCCTGGCTGAAACAGCCAATACAACAGGTGAAACCCAAGAAATGACAGTTCTCAAGCCTCTGAAGGTCACAGGCAGTAAAGCCAGTGGGGCTGAGAAATGGCAAATCAATTAAGTAAACCCCAGGATTACCCCAGCTCTCTGGCTTGGGAGTTTCCAGACTACAGCCCCGGGAAGGGTGCCAGGCTGCCTCTCTGGGTTGAAGAGACTACGTGAAGATTCCAGGGAGGCCAACACAGCCAGAGGTCACAGAGAAGAGTCCTAGGAAGGGCTGCACTGAAAGAATCCTGGAGGTGTGTATAAGGTCTGCTCGAATGCTCTGCTGAACACTGATCGGTGCGTGTGTGGGAGAGGAAATACTGGTGGCTGGAGAAAGAATCTGCCAAAGGCTAGGGTTCAAGGTAAAAGTGGTGGGTTCTCAATGAGCCAGACTGAGATGAGAGACTTCACGAGTCACAGACACCGGGTGAAGTATACAGAAGGTCTTGCCTCAGTAGCGGGAAGTAACGAAAGCTGGTCTGAGCACTATCCCAGGACTGTCCCAATAAATCTTAAAAGCAAGACCTAAAAGGATGAAAAGTGTTTCCAACTAACTCAACTGTGTCCCAGAGCAAAGCCCAAGAATACTTACAGGAATAGGAAATATCCACCCAAAAAGGTAAAAGTCATACTACATCTAGCATCTAATCACAAATTAAAAGACATGGAAAGAAGCAGGAAAATACAACATCCATGAGAAAAACAACAACAACAATCAAAACCAACCTAGAACTGTTATAATTAGTAGACATAGACACTAAAAGCTAATGTGTGTGTACATGCGTGTGCGCTCACGTATGTAAGACACTAATGCATACAGATATTAATACAAGGAAAACTGAGGAACATATATATATAATCCAAAATGTTTAGAAAGGCCTAAGTACAGAAACTAAAATCGTGACTTACCACAGAAACTTTTCTACACGAAAAGACAAAAAGCCGAAGGATTTGGAAAGGAAGAGATATTATTTGCACGATAGGAAGAGAGAATAAAGTTAAAGTATAATGTGGCATTGTGCTTTACCAAAGGAATAAAATTTTTTTTCTTTTTTTTTTTTTCAACGTTTATTTATTTTTGGGACATAGAGAGACAGCATGAACGGGGGAGGGGCAGAGAGAGAGGGAGACACAGAATCGGAAGCAGGCTCCAGGCTCTGAGCCATCAGCCCAGAGCCCGACGCGGGGCTCGAACTCACGGACCGCGAGATCGTGACCTGGCTGAAGTCGGACGCTTAACCGACTGCGCCACCCAGGCGCCCCAGGAATAAAATTTTAAAGTGTAAAAACACCATGGTAAATGTATACTCTTAATTAATTCAACAACTTAAGTGCCAGTTAAAAACTGAAAAACAAAAGAAAGTTACATCTACCCTAACGTAGGCTTCAAAATAAAGTTTTACTTACAGTTTTAAAAACACTCGAAAAAATAAACAAACAAACACCCGAAAGAACAAAAATTTATAGACAAAGATAAAGGTGGTGGAATTATTATAAGCATATACTTTCACTCCCTCCTAAAATTCTATAGAATACCGTAGAGTTTAAAATGTACAGAAGTCGTAAGGAAGAAGAAAATGGGAAAGGAAACAATTTAGAAACCACAAAGCATATGGATAAGCAGTCAGGGATTTAGCAAATCCTAGGTCCTTCCACCCACCCTCCTTCTCCCCCACAAAAAGCTGAGGAAATGGCAGCAATAGTAGGAGGGCTAAAGGTGGAGCTAAGAACCGGAAGACCAGGGAATTCTCGCGAAGGAGCAGCCGATCCTGCACATCCCCTCTCCCCAAAGAGCCGGCACTCCTCAATTCCCAGCAAAAACCTAGAAATGTTCCTCGTTACAGAACTGAGTTTTGAGGGGCAGTTAGTGGGACGCTTCCGCACTGAAGGCTGAGCTGTGCCGCCCGCGCCAGGGGAGGGGATGGAAGGCCCGTCTCCAGGAGTCTGACCGGCCCAACAAACAACTAGAAAACAACCGAAGAGCAGCCACTGGCCAAAAAGTTAGGAAAGAAGCTAACTTCTGCAGAGAGTTAAGAAAACACACTGTGTCCCTGAAACAGGTCAAGGATACTGTTGAAATAATTCCAAAGATAGAGCAGAACTTGAAAAACTAAAGATATAATAGTAAAAATGAAAAACCTGATCAAGAGATTGGAAGATAAGAATTGAAAAACTCTCCCTCCAGGTAGCAGTAAAGACAAAGATGGAAAATGGTAAAGAACAGTATAAAAATTAGAAGGCTAGTCCAAGAGGTCTAGAAACTAAATGACAGACATCTCACCAAGAAAAAAGAAAAGGGAAGAAGGGAGAAAAATCACCAACATAATACATACTTTTAAAATAAAACTGAAGGGTAAGAGCTTCCGAATGAAAAGGGCCCACTGAGTTCTTACAATGTAAAGAGATGAAAACTAAAAAAATCCACTGTTGGCAAGGTAAGCCACAAGGTAGAATAAGGAATAAATATCAAAGAATCTCAGTGGGAAGGAGGGGGGCAGCTTTCAACTTCACACTTCACAGAATTACATACTTTTAATCCATGAACGTTCCCAAACTTGATTCTTAAAAGAAGGTTTTAAGATCACTCTACCCAGAGGCCACATATATCCAATCACAATACATTGTAAACTCAGGCAGAGTTAAGCAAATTCCTTCAAAAGTGAGTTTTACGCCTAGTAATTATTTAATACAAATATAATTTCTCCCTGTGTCCTTTTTCTGTCTTTGAGATGGATAATAAAGGCAATCTGGAATTGGCAAATACTATAGAAGTCAATAAAGCCTATTCATAAAGGTTCTCTTTCAGTCATAAAAAAACAAGTAAGAAATTACAGTAGAATTAGGGTACATACTCTGTACCCAATACCTAAGAATCTACTCCTGGGGCATCTGGGTAGCTCAGTCAGTTAAGCATCGGACTCTTGATCTTGGCTCAGGTCACAATCTCATGGTTGGTGAGATCAGGCCCTGCATCAGGCTGCACACTGACAGCACGGAGCTTGCTCAGGAATCCACCCATCTCTCTCTGTCTCTCCCAATATAAATAAACTTAAAAAACAAATTACTCCCTAAATTTCTCACTTCAATAAATAATTTAGGACAAATAAAAGGCTGAAATGAAGCACAGAGGAGGGATGGCAAAATGGATATACATCCAAAATGGTGTATCTCTTAGAAACTATGGTCAAGACATTAGGTCTTTCTACAGTTACATTTCAGACAGTATT